TTCATTCCCCCCCTCATTTCATCCATGTTAGGGGTTTTATTTCTATTCTGATTCCTTTATTTCATAGATGGGAAAAGTTATACCCGGAGAAATCAAAATGAATGGTTCAAGTTCAGTTTAATTGCAGTTATAACCCAGATTTCCTGACTCCACATTCAGTATTGTTATGTGCTATACTGACTTCCCCTGGTTTGGAAAAGATGGTCATTTTATGGTAAAAGTTAACTAAACCTTAAGCTAATACCACAGAACTGTGGAGAAGAACTGAATCAAGAAACTCTTAGAAAATGTGGTGGGTCCAAATGAGAGTTTACTCCCAAATGAATCTGTAAGTGCCATGTATGATTGCTGAAAGAGTCTTTTCCTGGCACCACTACTGTATCAGTTAGCTTTGCTGCATAACAAACCACCCCAAAGCTTAGCTGCCTAAAACAAGAGTTATTTATTTAAAATATGTTTGCAGCAGCTTATCATCAGAATCATACTATAGCAATGTTTGTTCTTCTGCCATTGAGCCTTCTGTAAGATCTTTGAGGTCCACTGTAATTAAATCTATATATGTCTTAAGTGATGCGATAGTTCTTCTAAGCTTTAATGACTATCTTTAATAAGGAAAGAGAAATTTCTTATTTACTCTGACCTGCATTTCACTTAAGAAATAAGTGTTTTGTCATAATGTAATCTGTACTTACACACTTCTTTTTTTTTTACTTTAGATAAAATATTAAAATACTTAGATAAAATGTCTTCAGAGAAAATATTTATTAAATATTACAAAAGGAATAATAATAGTTTCATAATTACAAATAGCATTCTTTGCGACCATCATACCACCGTAATGTTCTAATTGTGAAAAACTTTATTTATTTAAAATATTTAATTTTTAAAAATGTAAAATTATTATCATTACTAATGATCATTTGCGTTGGGCTTTTTGGATTTCAGAGTGTCTTTGTGGGATTTAATGATGTCATTTTTAAACTAGGTCATATCACTCCTGACCATTCATGCTACTGTTACTGTCAAGTTTGCTTTTTGTTCGTAATAGAAAATTTTAAAATATTTTATTTATATTGTATTATTTTATTTTGGTGGCCTGGAGGTAATTAGGCTTGTTTATTTTTAGAGGAGGGACTGGGGATTGAACACAGGACCTCACACATGCTGAGCCTGTGCTCTTCCACTTGAGCTATGCCCTGTAATAGAAATTTTCAAGTGTAAGTTCCCAGATATTCTTTTCCGGCACTGATTATTGTCAAGAATGTATGTTTATCTTTGTGTTGGATTTCTAAAATCAGCCTGCCCAGCATTCACAGTCAGTGTGTCCTTCCCTGTGTGTGCTGCTTTCTGCTGCTCTTAATGGTGAATCTTCTGTCCCTTTTGTTTGCAGTGTCTCAGTTTGAAACTGAACTCCACGTCAGCGGACTGGCACCTCTCTGCGATCAGCTCGTTGTACTTTCCTACGTAAAGGAGGTTTCAGAGAAAACGGTAATTTTTCCCACCGCACGTACAGTGGGAGGTGTGGATTCAATTGTAGCCTTTTACACAGGTCAGGTTGCCCATGAAAGGGCTCAGCTACAGTCTGAGCAGAACTTCCTGATCTATAAAACAAGGTCGGCAGAGATTGCCTTGCAGCCCTGACATACTTATCTTTCAGAAGCTCCACTCATTGGCTGCTTTTGTACCTTCCGCTGAGCAAAGGGGAGTCTTTTTTTCCCCCTCTTTTTGTTTCCATCTCTCTTGGTATTTCAGTCCAAAGAAATGAAGGATTCCTCTTGCTGAAAGGCGGAGAAACTAAGCTGACTCTGTGCATTAGCAGAAATGACAGCAATGGAGTTGATCTGCTGTCACAGCAGGGGTCCCTGTGGTCAGAGTGAATTACAGAGGGCAGCTCATTATTTCCTGTGGTCCAGACATATTTGTTTACTTCCCAGTGGCTCAGTGATTCTGTGTGGCCTGATTCTTGCTTTGAAAGAGATCGTTGCTAAGTCTCACTTACCCACGCAGATGATGGTATGAAATGTGTGGCTCATAGGAAGCAGGGGAGAATTGGAATTTCACTATACGTGACTATGGAATGAAGCCTGTTTTATGGGCCGGTGCGGGGGGCCTGCATACTCAGTCTTCCTTGGAAGCCTCGGTCAGCCCCGCTCCCAGCTTATCTTTACTGTCGGAGGCCAGGGGTCCTGCCAGGAAAGGGTTTGGGGTGGCTTCAAGGCATAAACAAGGAGAGCTTTTTGTAAAGGATTTTCTTTGGGATGCTGTGTACAAAAGAAATGCAATTGATCGTCTAACCCTTTGTAGTAAGTAGCTTCTCCTTGTCTGTATCCTCTCCTTTTTTCCCCCTCCTTTTCAAATGGCAAGGAATAAAATGGGGAGAAAAACCCAGGGAGTCCCAGTTTTGAAGAGGTGGCTGCTCTCCAGCATTGCTCTGAGCGAGCACTTGCATCAGGAAGCCATCGCTATAGTAACCTGGAGCTCTGGGTGCCCATGTTGCTAGGCAATGGGATGCTGTAGACGTAAGTGAACACTCCAACCTGCTAAAATCAATAGGGCTGGCTTCTAGCCCTGTTGCAGGACATCAGTTTATTATTATTTTATTTATTTTTTTGAAAATAAAGGCAAGCAGTGGCTCCCTAGGGAGTAAATACGATGCTTTTTGATGAGGAATGTGGAGGGGATTGAGAATGTGATTGAAAGACGGAAGGAAAGAAGCAGCGAAATGAAAAAGGGAACGCCTAATAAGCAATTGACCAGCAAGAGAATGAACGAAAGGAAACCTTTGTTAATAAAAGAGAGTATTGCAAAGGAGCGCACACCAAGAAAGGCCAACCTTATAGGGCAAATCAGAAAATGGAATTTTTTCCGAGGAAGACGTGAGGGTCTTGAAGGTGATTTAAAAATGCATGTGTCGGGGGAGAGGGTACATAGCTCAGTGGTGCAGAGCATGCTTAGCTTGCACGAGGTCCTGGGTTCAATTCCCCAGTACCTCCATTAAAATAAAAAAAAATTAGAAGAAGGCTATCAGAATGTCTAAAAAAATGCGTGTGCCAGCATATGTAACTATTCATTTTCTGTAACACTAAAAGTACAGCTGAAATCCTTAAACACAGAATGAACTGGTAAAACTAAGACAGAAGGAATAAAGAAGCAAGCTTGGGGTCAGCCATGTCCCCCTTTTTTCTTTTTTTTTTTTGTGTATCAAAAAGACAGTTTACATAAACAAAATTCATTTTTTGTCAGTCATAACGTTATCCCCCGGCACATGGCCCCCATTATCCCTTTTCCGTACGTGCACGTTTCTGCACGGTTGCAGCCACAGTTACAAGCTCTTCTGCGTTGCCGTGTTTTTAGGCGCATCTTCCATTCTCTCTCCCTCTGCCCGTACAGCCCCCCATCCTCGCATAGAGTGGTTGTGAACTACTTCATCTGGTTGATAGAACCTAATTGATGAGCCCGTTCCCCTAATGTTTTGTTTTCCCTTCGTTTGTCACTAAAGCACGTGTGTTACGAGCTGCGCTGAGGGTTGAGGAGCAGAGACCAACAGGACCAAATTCCTGCTCCTGGGAGGTTCGCGCAGAGGCAGGGCTGGGCTGTCTGCCCAGCGAGCAAAATACTGAGTAAATACTGAGCCGACTCACACTGCTGGTGGAGCTCTTACACATATGAGGGAGCTCGTTATATTGGTCTGGCAAGGTGGTTTTCTTTTAACGCTATTTGGTTCCTTTTTTTTTTCTATTTTGCTATTCTAATTTTGCTAATTTTTGTCATTGTTACAGCAGTCGATTTTTTAAATGTTCAAATCTTCCAGTTTTTTTTTTCTTCTCTTTATTATCATTGTTTTCAGATTGAGACAGTTCTCATTTCTCCATAGTTGCTCTTTTGGAATGTTTTCAATTTATGAGATGCAAAGCTAACGTAACTGTCTCTCTGTTAACCTAACAAAATCGATCAAAGGAATCTTCGAGGCCTACTGTTCTGCTGAGGGACTTTGGAGAGTAGGGGACAGTTCTGGACTTCGTTCATTCTGTTCCTTTCATCTGTGTTTGCTGCACCAGTGTTACGCTGCTTTAGGTTTGTTGCTTTGGAAAAGGGTCGAGTGTATGTTTCATGCCTCTGCTCAGTGCTCAAGAAGCATGGGCTCTAAGCTCAAACAAATTTTATTTCCAATCCATAGTTCCACTTTTCCCTCAAACTCCCGGCTCACCGTTTACTTACGTAACTTTGACCTTCGTAAACTCGCTGATCTTCAATTCCCTTCATCTGCAAAATTGGGAACAACAATACTTACTGAGGGGTGGTTTAAGGACTGAGAATGATCTGTGTACAATCACCTACTAGGTTGGTGGAACTGTCATAGGCCCACAGCAAAACATCTTTGCCCCTTCTGTCTTGATCTAGAAATTGTCCAGAACTGTAGTCACTAACCATGTGTGACTGTCTAAATTTACATTAATGAAAATCAAATAAAATTTAAAATTCAGTTTCTCAGTCACAGTAGTCACGTCTCAGGTGTTCGGTAGCCACCCGTGACTCACGTCTGTCACGCTGGGCAGTGCAGACAGAGACCATCCCCATCATCTCTGGCTGTTCAGCGTTATCAGTGAAATTACTAGTAGAGGCAGTGGTCTGGGTAACGGAGCAGTCTGTGATGTAATTTTGACTCTTTCTCACACTTGTAGGAAGATGTAACAGAGTCGTCTAAGGATGTAGTAACTGCTCCTTGGAGCTGCAAGGGCTACAGTGATGCACTGCTGACCTGGCACAGAGGTGCCTCTTCTGGGTGTCTCATTTACATAAGTTTGATTGATTTTTTCCTATTCTTTTTTTTTTCCATCTATTTTATTTATTTTCTTCCTGATCTTTATTATTCCTGTCCTTCTGCTAACTTTAGGTTTTGTCTGTTCTTTTTCTAATTCTTTTAGGTTGTATGTTAGGTTGTCTATTTGAGATTGTTCTTGTTTTTTGAGGAAGGTCTGTATTGCTGTGAACTTCCCTCTTAGAACTACTTTTGCTGGACCCCGTAGATTTTGTGTGATGTTGTGTTTTCATTGTCATTTGTCTCAAGATATTTTTTTAATTTCTTCTTTGATTTCATCATTGACCCGCTGGGGGTTTTTATAGCATGTTTAGTCTCCTTGCTTTTGTGTTTTCTTCATTTTTCTTTCTGTGGTTGATTTCTAGTTTCATACCGTTGTGGTCGGAAAAGATGCTTGCAATAGTTTCTATCCTTTTAAATTTGTTGAGGCTTATTTTGTGTTCAAGTATGTGGTCTATCCTAGAGAATGTTCCACAGGCACTTGAAAAGAATGTAAATTCTGGGTTTTTTGGATGTAATGTCCTGAAAATATCAGTGAAGTCTAACTGTTCTGTTGTGTCATTTAGTATCTCATTGTCTTACTGATTTTCTGTCTGTAAAAGGGAACCCTCCTACACTGTTGATGGGAATATAGTTTGGTGCAGCCATTATGAAAAATAGTATGGAGATTCCTTAAAAAACTAAAATTAGACTTACTATATGATCCAGCATTCCCACTCCTGAGCATATATCCAGAGGAAACTCTAAGTCAAAAAGATACATGCACTCCAATGTTCATAGCAGCACTATTTACAGTAGCTAAGACACGGAAACAACCTAAATGTCCATCAACAAATGAATGGATACACACACACACACACACACAATGGAATACTACTTAGCCATAGCAAAGAATAAAATAGTGCCATTTGCAGCAACATGGTTGGACCTGGAAATTGTCATACTAAAGTGAAGTAAGCCACAAAGAGAAAGAAAAATACCACATGATATCACTTATATGTGGAATCTTAAGTTCATCTGTGTCTTTTTTTTTTTTAATTTACGAAATGTAAACAGACTCACAGACATAGAAAACAAACTTATGGTTACCTGAGGGGAAAGGGGGGTCGAGGGATAAGTTGGGAGTTTGGGAGTTGCAGATACTAACTACTGTATATATACAAAATAGATAAGCAACAAGGTCCTACTGTACAGCATAGGGAAATATATTCAATACCTTATAATGACCTTTAATGAAAAAGAATATGAAAAGGTATGTATATTTTATATATATATAATATATATATGTGTGTGTGTGAATTACTGTGCTGTACATCAGAAATTAACACAACATTGTAAACCAACTATACTTCAATTAAAAACAAAAAAAGGTCAAAATAAACCACTGCTGTGAAGCCATCCATGACAGGTGGTTAGAAGGATTTACAAACTTACAAAACCAAAGCGTTTAATCATGGCTAACTAGAATTAATTTGTATCGTTTATAGAAATGCAATTAAAACACGCCTCTTCCCTCTCTTTCCCCGCCCAGGAAAGAGAGTACTGCGCCAGGCCCAGACTGGACATCATCCAGCCACTTCCCGAGACGTGTGAAGAGGTCTCTTCTGATGCTCTGACAGTGAGAGGCTTTCAGGAGAACGAATGCAGAGATTATCACTTAGGTGAGAGCGATCAGCGACCTGACTTGCGTTCTTTCTCACGTTTCCTCCCCTCCGCTCAAGCAGCACAACCAGGAGAGTAAACTGAGTTGCTGAAAGGCTCTTCGAGACTCTCTGGGCAAGCCTGATATGTTGAAAATGATGAGGGCATCAAGGCCCAGAGACGCCGCAGGACTTGCTTGGGTTCCCGCAGCGGGAGGGAGGGGTGGAGATGGGGCCAGGACCGAGGTGAGGGGGCTTTGTGATCTGCTGTCCCAACTGTTTAATGTGACCCCTGACTTACGCTGATGTCAGGCAGCCTGATTCTGTGGTCACCACATCACCCCCAACTTGATGTCCCTAGAAAGTGTACTCTGGGATGACAGAAAAGTGGGCTTCCTGTTTGTGACCAGATACTCAGAGCTTGGAAAAGTGCTTGGTACATAACTAGGTCACTAAGTATTTGTTGAGTAGATGAATGAATAGTTAGTCATCACTCAGAAAAAAAGGGGAGAACCATTGCTATGTAGACATACCGGGGGCATCTGTGTTTGGGTGTCGTCATACCCTTGAAAAATATATTGATGAAAATAAAACAGAAATTCATTTCTGCTTTAAAAACAATTGACACGTTTCAAGAATATTTTCCGTTCTCATTTTGGTCAAAAGAAGTGAAGAAATATTCTACATCTGTTTGAGCAGTTTTACGTGAAGTCCTTTATCAGCTGAGAAATGTGAGTGGGTATTCTGGACTTAGCAAAAAGCAAATGTGATTCACCAGTGAAAGCAGCCAGTCGGGGTGTTTTGCGCAGGGCAAACTCTGCTGCACACTTGGAAACCCGGCTTATAATTGAACAGGGCTTATAATTGAATTCTGCAGGAAGCCCTTACGATCAGCATTGTGTACAACATGCTGAGATGACAGATGATGTCCCCAGGGCTTGGGGCGTCTGTCATTTATGCTTTAGATGGCCTTGACCTTGATGAGGAGGAAACATTTATCACCGACTGTGGGGTGTAATTGTTCTGTAAAAATAGAACAGCACTGTAAATGGCCATAGATAAAGTTTATATACAGTAGATGAATTATATGCAATAGACATGGAGAATTTGTACACGATCTTTCAGCTGAGGTCAGAATGTTAATGTATGAAACACAGAATGTTTAAGCCTACCTGATTTTTTTTTTAAGTTTTTTGGTGTTTTTCTCCCTTTTTTCCTTCTCATCTTCTCTGTCTCCCTTTCTCCTTCCCTGCCTTTTCTCTTTCAAATAATTCTACATGCAAATATTTTTTTAAGTGCTGGACTATAGCCTGTCATTCTCTACCCTGTCTCTCTCTCCTCCCTCCAGACACAGTTGTTCCAAAGGGAGGAGAGTCTTCTGTTCCCTCTTAAGTTGAGCGTCCTAACCAGGTCCCCCAAAACCACTGCTGAGCTTTTTACTGTTGAGTCACAAGTTGCTCTCTCCTCTCTCGTCTCTAGAGTACTCAGAGGGGGAGTCACTCTTCTACATCGTGAGCCCAAGAGATGTCGTCGTAGCCAAGGAGCGGGACCAAGATGACCACATCGACTGGCTCCTTGAAAAGAAGAAATACGAAGTAGTTTTGCTCGTACTTTCTTTAAAGTATTGATGTGTCCATAACATAGAGAAGATAAAAAGGGTTTTGAATAAATCTTTCTTGTAGGTAAATTAGAATGTTCTAAGCTAATAGTATGTAGGAGGCTAACAACTTTCCAACACTCTTTGCAGAAATTAGGGGGGAGAGGATTGCAAGGAGGTTGGTTGGCTGCACTGTTCAACGGAAGAGGAGTTGTTGATGGAGGAAGGAGGTGGGTTAGGTCCAGCCAATAGCCATGTTTATTCGGTGGTTCTTCAAGGCAAATAAAACAGAGTTAATATTTCAGAATCATCTCTTTGGATATTTTAGTGAAATCATTTATTGTGCTTATTTCACGTGTAAAAGTAAAACTGTCAGTTTATACTCATTCAGGATGGTTTGCACTACCTGCTCTGGTAGAATGATACCCATTTCGTTAAGTCTTGGTTCGGACGAATTTGAGTAGATAATGTCCCATCATGGCTTTTTTAAAAAAGCAGAGCATTGTTTAACTTTAACAGCTACAAAGTCATTATTGTGTTGGTTTAGTTAGAGAAACTATCTGGCTAGTCTTACATGCTAATCAGCCCAAAACAAACAAACAAAAAATAGTCCATTTATGTGGTGCTTTAAGTCTGTAACCACCAGGCATTGATACCAAGTTCATACCAGTTATTATTATTGCTTTAGATCCAGGAGCTTCTGAAAGAACTAATTTTGTGTTTCAAACATTTGTGTTAGAGTAGCAATTGTAAACTTACCAAAATAAAAAGAAAATTAGAGCTTTTTAAAATCTTACTGTAGATACACCTAAATGTATACATGTATACTTTTATGTTTGATCAAGGCAAAGCACCCCTTTGTTAATATATACCATATGGATTTAGAATGGCAGGTGGATTTTTTTTGTTTGTTTGAACCGAGGAGATTTTGTTCTATTTTGGTTTGTGTCTGAAATGCGATTCCCGTATCCTAATGTGGAAATGAATTCAAATAGAAATAAGAGAACTCTTCATTTTGGTTGACTGCTTTTGTTTGAGTTTGAATTCAGTGAGGTTCACTCAACCATAACGTTAAAAATTCCTGTGCTTCAAGTAAAAGCCATAGGAAAATGGGGTTTTATTTATGTAAGCCCAGGACTTTCAAACATAATAAATATAGTGTTTATAACCTCAGTGTCTTTCTCTCCCACTCTCTCTCATTTTCCCTCCCTCCTCTTCTGCTCCTTTTATGATGCTTATGCATAAATACAGGAAGCTCTGATGGCAGCTGAAATTAGCCAGAAGAACATTAAAAGACATAAGATTCTGGTAAGTGTGTAATTTTATTATTTGAAACATAACTTTACCTTTCAATAAGTTATCGTGAGCCTGAAAGGAATTTGAAAAGAACAGATTCTTCCTACTTTCGGAGAATTTGTTTCAAACTAATTCTCTAACCTGTGAGGTCAAAATATTTCATTGTCTTGAATCAGTTTCTGCTTGTAAACAAGAAACTTGAACACCTGCTGCTAGGAGGTAGTTTTAGGTAATTTGGAAACTGGATTTGTGAAAGACACTTCCAATACAAAGTTTTCCAGTTACGTTTCTTTAAATCAGGGGTAAAATGACATTATCTTGGTATTTACCAAAAGAGTGGTTTCATAAAACTAGATTGCTTCCGTGAATCCGTAGTAACAACCCAAGTGACTCTGTTACGGATGCTAATCTAGGACATCGAATACATTTCTGTTACATTTTGGACTCTGGAAAAATTTCGTGAGTGGAAGCCCATTTCTTTGCTAACTGTAACACTGAACGTGCAGATGGACAGCAGAAAAGAAACTTTATCCTCTGAGCGTGAAGCGTCCTTAGAGATCATTTAGCCCAGGACCCTGGTTTACAGATGAAAAATGGAAACCGAGTCCGTTACGGCTGTTCAGGTTTCAGCACAAATCCCTTCTGCCTACACTTTCCCCACCTAGGTAGACCTTTCTTTAAAATTCCTCAGAAAAGCCTCATTCCCAAAGAGTTTGTAAGTAAAATCACCCAGGAACCGAAAGGAAGAGAAAGAGGGAGAGAACTAGAGCATCTTGTGGGTTTTTTTTTTAATTATTCATTCAAAATTGCAGAGAATAAGCAAGGATTATCTAGAAATGGAGTACAAGGCATTCCGGCCAGTAGAAAAGTATGGTTGAAGCAAGCGGGTCGGGAGTAACGAGAGGCTGAGCCAGTCAGTTGTGCGTTGGGTTTGGTGATAGGAAACTGATGAGTGCATTTTCCGTATATGTTTTATTTATTCTCAACATGCTTGATGGAGTCAGAGTGAATAGGGGATGATGAAGTCGAGTCGAATATAGACTGTTAGGCTAGCTGTGACGTGGAAAGGAGGAAGACTGTGGCCGGGGGCCGTGACATCATGGGAGGACTGTGGGTGATGGTGGGTGTTTTGTGTAAGAGAGAGACTTTAAGTGCTCATGCTAAGAGAAAAGAGATAAAGTCAGGTAGAGGTTAATGAAGCACAGAGAAAGAGGATGCATGGACGAGTAAGCGCCACAGTGGGGAGGGGCATGGACCTGGGGAGAAGGGTCGGAGAAACTGACTTCTGCAGACATCACTTCTCTGAACCTGGACAGAAAGACTCACTGTAGATCCTGTGATATGCGATCTGTTTTCAGAGAAATAAAGTTAAGCACCCTTTCTTCACTCCACAGTTCCAGTAGATTTGAAATATGATTTCCTACAGAATAGTTTCTTACTTAGAGTAAAGAAGCCTGATAAGCTAAGAACTATGAGTATTTCCCTTGGGGGAGGATGTAGCTCAGTGGTAGAGCATGTGCTTAGCATGCATGAGGTCCAGGGTTCAATCCCTAGCACCTCCATTTAAAAAAAAGAAAATTAAAAAAAAATTCTTTTAGAGTATTTCCCTTTACTCTTGAAATGGGCACATCCTATATGTTAATTATGCCTAGACTTTCTTCTCCTAGCACAAGGCAGGCAGAGAGAGAAATGGGTTCGTACCATGTCTGCCATCCAGGAAGAAGTTCCACAGAAATTTCTTTGCGCATAAAGTAGAACTTGAAGTCCAAGTTTTGTTCTGTACACTGAGTTTAAGCTTCTCATGAAAACGCTTTCAGGTGAAATCACCTTTCATAAGAGCCAGGATCAAGCAGGAGGTCCCATGTCTCTGGTGCCACAGACCACCTTGAATCCTTTCAGAACCAAAGTAGGATAAGTGGATGGACACGGATACTGTGAAGCCACTCACTTCACTCCTTCGAGCCCCAGTTTCCTCACCTATAAACCCATGGGTTTGAACGACCCGTTTTTCAGAGCTCATTTTCACTTGAATGTTAGCTTTAATTTTTTAATATGTCCCTTTAATGTGATGTGCTGTCATTTCGTTTTCCTTAACAGCCCACGTATTTTAGAGGAAAGAACAAGGTCCAATTTTATATCCGGTGACAACGTGAAATCGTTGGCTCATGTTTCCAATAGTGGAGATTTCTTTTGTAGAAAATGTTTTAGAAGAGGGCAGGTTAGGAGCCTTTCAAGTAGTAACTTTTTAAAAAATTGTGAACTCTGAAATGTGTGAAAATACAAGTACATTTAGATATGCTCAAGAAAGACATGAGCATAATTACATAAAGCTAATAACTAAGGTGGATAAGCAGCTTTCAGGCAGCAGGGTTAATAAGACCCTCACGCTTGGCTCAGCAATTGAGACTCGGCTTTCCATTCATTCCAGTTAATTATGAAATACCATCATTTAATTTTCCCTAGGACATTGGCTTGGCGTATGTAAACCACCTGGTGGAGAAAGGAGAGTATGACGTAGCGGCACGGTAATCAAGACATTTTCACAATCATTTGTTACTAGAATTAAGCCGTGTTGACAATAAAGATAGATCAGTCTCTGCAGCTGATGGACTTTTTTGTTACATCTTTCTAACAGTGTTTTTTAATATTAATGGTTTTAACCACAGAACAGATTGATGTGTTATTTACCCACCTACTGTGTCATTTTCATCAAATGCAAAATGTTTTTCTCATTATTTAATGAAAAAAGTGTCACAAACACTGCGATCTTCCCCTTTTCATGAGCTGACAAATTAGCCTGCCAGTTTCAAGGGTGCTGGCAGAAGACGCGACACTCTGGGTCAGAGACACAGGACTGTGTGCGGCGGCGGCCCTTGTGGCCCGGGTGCCAGCACTCCCCGCGCCCGATCCCACAGACCCGCTTCTCACGGCGCGATGCGGGGAGCGCGGGGCGGCCCTGCACAGGCCATGGGTTGTGTTACAGGAGAGGGGCCCTGCGCTTAGGGCGTCTGATTCTTTTATAATGGGCCGTACGGCCACCTGCCCTTGGCTCTAGAGGAAGACGTTCTTTCTATTTTACTGGGCGGTAAACAAACCTGCCCTTCCCTCTGGAGGGAGACACCACCTGTGTCCTCTGCCCTCCGGGGCTGTTCACTCGACATCCTCGAAAGGCTAGTCCAGAATAAAGGCAGCCAGTGGATCTGCTCACAATTTGAGAAGAATTGTCTCCCAGCAAGAGAATGGCAGTTAAGTGATCAGACCCCAGGCTCGTGGCTTGCAGGGGCGTGTGGTGGACAGGAAACATAAACGGTGCGCAGTGGTCGTGTGGGTCTGTGAGTGGCTCCCCCTCGAGCTGTGCAGCGTGGTCGGCAGGACCACATGGTAGCCCGGGAAGCTAGTCTTCATCTGCTTTTTATCCCTTGTTTTAGGGAAATGTGTTTCTTTGATGTGTAAATCAAGTAAGGCTGTATGCACACACAGATATTTCTCCAGATTATAGACTCTGGTAGGATTCTAATTTTCCGAAGTCTGATTTTGTACTCTGTTATCTAAAACCATTCAGGAGGTGGTTTAAATTGGCACTTTGGGGTATGATGACATTTCCTCAAGGCAAGAAGGGTCCCCTAGACTAGCAGTGCTCGTCTGGCTAAAGCAGGAAACTCAGAACAGGAAAATCACTGGGGACACCCCTAATTGAGGTCTTCTCAAACAGATTCCTCTTTATAAGTATTGTGTATTAATTTTCATGATTTCCATCAACTTTATATATGCAGTTAAGGGAGTACTAGTAAATACCTTTAATGTTCATTGGCACTTGAGATGGAAATTTGTCAAAATTCTGGGAGAAGAGATTTATCTAAACCACTAGGGGGAAATGTCTGCTTTTTCTGTCTCTGTTTATTTTCTTTATTTATACTTTGTTTCTCCCTGGGATGTTTTTACTTCCAGCAAATGCCAGAAAATTCTTGGGAAAAATGCAGCGCTCTGGGAATACGAAGTTTATAAATTTAAAGAAATTGGACAGCTTAAGGTGAGCATAGCTTTATTTTTAAGTCTTAAATTTTTATAGGTAGTATATTAATATTGAAATGGAAATAAAATTAAGACAGTAGTAATCAGTTCTTTACTGAGACACGAGTACTGTCCCAGCTGGAAAGAAAAATCGAACTTTTAGAAATTAGTTACAAAATATGAATCTGGCTTGTATTTTATGTGTATAAAATATATGCATATATACTGCATGTATGATGTGCTGACTTCCTTATCTGCCCCCAGTTCTCTCTGTGATCAGATGAAGTTTTCATGTTCTTTTTAGTGAATATAGAACAAAGATATAGTCTCATCCAGTAGATTATAAAACACAAGGCTTTTTTCCAGATGTACTGGCGAATTCATGCATTCTCAAATATTTTACTTGCCAGAACACAGATGGAAAATTTTGACCAGGTCGCTCCAACAAATACTTTTGATTTTTCATTTTTTTTAAATCTTTCAACTTAATGTACAATATCCAGACTAATCAGTAAGGTATTCCTATGTCTACAGGTCTGTTTAAAAAAAATTTTTTTTAATTTTTCAGTATTTGTGAGCCTTGTCAGCGCTCTCCTAGAGTTATGAATATGTTTGTAAAAATCCCAGTTATTCAGCTGGCCCGCCCTGTGACTCCATTTGTGCTTGCTCCAAAAATGTTTCTCCTCCGGGAGACCCTCGGGGACACTTCCCTCCATGTTTACTGGGCTGACCTCGGATGATCTTACCCAGCCCTATGGCCATGTTTAGCGCGATGGCTCTAGAACCCAGACCTCTATGTTGAATTCCGTATCTGTGTTGGAAGTGTGGGATGGCCATTTTCCCTTGTGTATGCTACTGATAATGATTACTCAAATCACTGTGAATCCATTTCCTTCCCAAGTTTGGTCCTGCCCCTCTGAGTCTATGTGTATGACTTCATAATCGTCCCCATTCCTTCCCTGCTTAATAACTCAAAGCCACTGTCTTGATGAGATCATCGAACTCACCTCCTCACGCTGTTTTATCTCCAGTGCTTTTCAGTTTTACTCTGGCAGTACCAGCTGAGCCTCTCCTCCCCGCCAGGACCACTGCCTCAGGTCCCACCTGAGCTAGTGCATGGGCCTCCTGGTAGATCTGTGTTCAACCCTAACCCAGAGTTAGCTGTTTGAAAAATAAATGTGCTCCTCTCATTTCCCTCCCACTCAGAGTATAAGATCCGAGTTCCTTTCATGACCCCACCTCAGCTTCCTCTCCAGCCTTATCTCCCTTCTGTGGCCCCGTCCCTCATCTTGGAGCCACTCTGACCTCCTGCATGCAGAGTGAACATCCATGGCTCTGTGCCCTCGCTCCTGCTGTTCCCTCTGCCAGGGTGCCCTTCCCGTTCTCTCTTTGCCTGGTAGACCAACCCCTGGCGTCTGTTTTTTCTGCTTCAGTCCCCAGGATCCACCACTCCTCGCCACAGCATCTCGTTAACCCTTCTGTGTGACACTGTTTAGAAATCTGCGTGTCTTCCCTCTGAGGCTGTGAGCCCCTGGGGATAGTGCCTTGAGCTCTGGGTCCCCAGGACAGAGCGTGGTGATTGGTGACTCAGAGTCATTACAATGTTGGAAACTTGACACTTAACACAGCACTGCAATAGCTGTGTTAATACAAAAGCTGCATTCTCCCTCCATTTCAGACAACGGCTATGAGTTTTTAAAGGTTGACATATTCCATTTTAAGGGGGAAAAAGAGATATGTAGATGACCTATAACTCCCTGATCACTTAAGTTGACTTTCATCATCTGTACCATTCTCCCTCCTATTACTTAGATTTTCATTAATTCATCAAGGAAGAACAGAGAAAGTTTAACTTAACCAAGGCAATTTTTCATACAATGTAGACACTTCATATAACTTTTTAGAATACATTGTAATATGTTACAAGAAACTAGAGTTTATTTGAATCTTTTCTCTTCATTATTAATTTGCCAAAGTACTTTGTTGCCTTAAATTTTTAAAGTAAATGTAGACTTTATGTTTTCTGCGTATGGAGTTTTGTTTTGCTACCCCCCCCCCCCCGTTTGTTTATCTTTGCTTTCACTTCTGTTGCCTTGGGAAACTGCCTTAGGAGAGCATCGCTAGGATTTATATGAGATGGCTTTGCCTATTTTCTTTTAGGAGGTTTAAGGTGTCTTGTCTTAAGTATAAGTCTTTAAGCCATTTTGAGTTTATTTTTGCGTGTGGTGTGAGGGAGTGTTCTAACTTCATTGATTTACATGCAGCTGTCCAGCTTTCCCAACACCACTTGCCAAAGAGGCTGTCTTTTCTCTGTTGTATATTCTTGCCTCCTTTGTCAAAAATTAATTGACTATAGGTGTGTGGGTTTATTTCTGGGCTCTTTATTCTGTTCCGTTGCTCCATATGTCTGTCTTTATGTCAATACTACACTGCTTTGATTACTGTACCTCTGTAGTGTTGTCTGAAGTCTGGGAGGGTTATTCCTCCAGCCTCTTTTTTTCTACAGTATGGCTTTGGCAATTCCAGGTCTTCTGTGAGTCCGTGTAAATTTTAGGATTAATGTGTTCTAGTTCTGTGAAAGCTCTCCTGGGTAATTTGACAGGGATCCCATTAAATCTGTAGATTGCTTTGGGTAGTATGGCCGTTTTAACTGTTTTGCTGCTTTGCAAAGAAATTTTTTGTTTCTTTTTCCTACTTTAGGCTATCAGTCCTTATTTGCCAAGAGGGGATCCAGTTCTGAAACCACTCATCTATGAAATGATCTTACACGAATTTTTGGAAAGCGATTATGAGGTATGACATGCTAGCATCGTCCTATTTACTTGTTCCCAGTGGGAAAATGTTAAGAAATCTAGAAGTCATACAGTGGAGCAAGTGGTTTAAAGGAGACAGCTTCGCAGTTTGTATGCAGTAGGGGAAACTGGGGTAGATGCACTCTGATGTCACCTAATGGTTATGTAGACACTATTAATGAATGTGTCTAATCAATGTACGTTTTAACGGACTCTTTAAAGCTGCCTCTTTGATAGAGCTAAAGAAAGGGGACCAGCTGCCATTTGGGGAATTTTGTAAATAGAATCGCAGCAGCCATTGATGGTTGTTACCCCGAAAGAATTCAGAACTTCCTAAAGCATGGGTCTCAGAACTAAGTTCACCAAAGGAGGATTAAAAGGAAATTAGGAGGCAGGAGTGGGGACGGGGGTTGGAAGTGATGTTTGTTTATTGATTAAGGAGGAAGGTGGTACCTGAATTGCTCATCTGTCCTACACTGTGTTTTGTTTTGTTTTTTAACATGCGTGCTCTAGTGTTATCCCCTCAACAGCGCTATGAATAGTAGTACCCAGTTTTACAGAGGAACTGACGGTTAAAGAAACTGAATAACTTGCCCAAGGCCATCCATTTAAAAAACAGTTATGCGTAGATTTTAAATTTGGTGTTTATATGCACCCTAAATGGATTATAATTTTTAACATTTATTCAGAAAATGTTCAGTCCCTCCTAGGCTCTAGGAGTGTGCCAGGCACTCGGCACGCCAGCGTGGACGAAGTGATGCTCATTCAGCAACAGCTCTTCGTCTCAGTCACCCCCAGGCACGCAAACCAGCGGTTCTCAACAGGGGCGGGTTCTGGCCCCACCCCGGGGGCCTCTGACAGTATCTGGGGGCATTTTTTATTGTCACAACTGAGGAATTGGCACTCCTGGCACTTAGTGGGCCAGCAGGGATGCTGCTGAACATCCTACAGGGCACAGGGCAGCCCCAATGACGAGGAATTTTCTGTCCTCAAATGTCAACACTACTGAGGTTGAGAACCCCTAATATAAAAAGATAAGTTAGTGGGAGGGTATAGCTCAGTGGTAGAGAGCGTGCTTAGCGTGCATAAGATCCTGGGTTCAATCCCTGGT